GGGGGAGTAGAAATACTCCTAGTCGCTTCATGCTACAGAAACCGGGATAAGCTCCGGCCTGATGGGCCACTTGGCTCGTATGCAGACTTTACCTTTTACCGTATGCATGTGTAACATGTATTTTTATCAAAATCATTTATTGTCAAAGGTTATTTATAAAATATTCCCATGTGTCTTGTCTTGAGAACTTTTTTAATGACTGTTAATAAATACTTATCCCCTTCGTGATACATGTCAAAGGAAGAGCATGTCAGTGTGAATTAATACCGTGGACAAATAAAGATTACCTACCTGTCCTGCCTACCCTACCTGTAGACATGTATCAATCACTCCTGTTTTCCTTGGTAATCCAGGACACTGACGTTATTGTTTGGGACACTGTTAATGAAGCAGGTATTTACCGGTGAGGATCTTAAAACAATATTATGCTTTTTAGTTGTTTTAATAGTAGCTGAGGTTGTTGGTGGGAAATCAATTCAGGAAGTTTAACTTGTAAATTCTACAGAACTTTATATTTGCACAGCTAGGCCTGGACAAGCACGACAGGTGAACTGTTATTAATTTATCAATAATTCAATCTGTTCTTTTTCTTGCAATGTATCTAGTCTTAAAGGCCACAAAGGACTTATAACACAATGTTCTTTCATGAGAAGTCAGAATATCCTGATAACAAGGTGGGTGATGACAAACATTTTAATTAGTGCTCATCTTGTCATGGTAATTAAACAATTGCCAAATTTCAAGGAAGATGTCAATCAATTTACCCATTGCAGAAAAGGTCAAAATTCAGTATTGAACATCAAATTTATTCCTTGTTCCAACAGTTTTATTCTGGACTGGATGCACAAATTATCTACTCGCATCTGATTGGTTTATAAAAAAAATTGAATTAGGTTGGCTTCCACCATAGCTTGGACATGAGCCATGAAACTAACCTTCACTGACAATATCCAGTTACCATGGACAAATTTACACATTGTCATGTGATTCGTAAAACAAACACTTTTATTCAGGTTTTAAAGCCTGAACCAAATAGAATAATTGCTACAAGTGCTCCCTCCTCACTGTAAAGTGTGCAAGTCTATTCAACCAAATACACATGGCACCAGCTGGAGTCCACTACTGACACTAAACATTACATCAGCATGCCTCCCACAATAATTAATACATGTAGATGTAGTTACTAACATTAGATTGAGCTTATGATTTTGGTTTCTTTTCATCAGTTCTAAGGACAGTTTTGTAAAGTTCTGGGATCTTGACACACAACACTGTTTTCTTACTCTTGTTGGTCACAGGAGTGAGGTTAGTATATGACATGTACTTTAGCACTTGACATTAAAATGTAGAGAATGACTCAAAATTTGTCTAGACTGCAAGAAGATTTTATCTCGTGTACATGTAGCAGTTACAGTTATAAGGAAATCTATAGTTAGTCAGTTGAATAATCATTATAAGCTTTGTTTTAGGCAAATGTCTCTCTTTCAGAATTGCTAGTTTATTAGGAGCCTCTTTTAACTACCTCTTTCTCATTTGTATTCCAGGTCACTGGAATTCACATACGGTTGAATCCCGCTATTTCAAACTCTCAGGGGAAATGAAAAATAAATCCAAATAGCGAGAGTTTGAAATAACCAATAGTACAATGTAAATGATTGAGGGGCAAATCCAGGGGAAATGGTTTTGAGTGGGAAATAATGGGGAATTCAAATTAAAGGGCTCCAACTGTATTCTGTGGATCAAACTTTGATTGTCTCATGATTCATTGTGTTTTTTTATTTTATTTTCTAAATGACAAAAGCGGACAGTACAGAAGTTACCCTTAAATAGTGAAAACATTCTTGATTTTTGGCTTAAAAGAGCCAAAATTTGTCCTGGAAGAATACTTTGTGGTGCTGTTGATTTTTTGGCTGTTTAGGTTTGGGGCTTTACTGTGTCCCATGATGAAACAAGGTTGATAACTGGATGTTCAGACAGTGAATTAAGAGTTTGGAAGATTAATAGTGGGACTGAGAGTGATGCAGAGGAATCCAGAAAAAACAGTGAGAAGCAAGATGGAAAGCGAAGTGCCAAAGAAGCAGAATTAGATGAAGAATCAGAAGCAAAAACAACTGAGGTACATGTACATGTAAACCAGTACTGGAAGGTCAAGCAGTCACTGTCAGTGTTAATTACACGGTGATTACTTGTATGTTACATTTAGCAAAGTCTTCTGTGAATTGGCAACCTTTAAAGACACAGATTTCTCTTTGTAGTGTTGCTGACTCAGTATAAAGTAGGAACTTGGAATGGTTGTAAGATAGTATTCTTCCTCAGTGATCACCTTTCACTGGATGCTTGATTCCAAAAATTTGAGTGACATTAGTGTCTCAAGGAAAATCTCAACAGAGAGAAGGGGGACACCCCCCAGGCCCCTCCCCAAAATGTACCAAATTGCTCCAAACCCCCTTCCCTCTGCAAACCCACTTCCCTCTGCAAACCCCCTTCCCTCTGCAAACCCCCAACCCCAGGATTGGCCACAGCAACTTTTACACTGGGCCCCTAAAAAAGTGGCTTGGGCTCCTAACTTCAAAAGTTAGGAGCCCAAAGGGCTCCTTAAAAATTTTCTTGGGCAACAGCCTTGGGTTAAAGATATGGAGAGGCTCCAGAGGGGAGTTTTTGTTCATTTTATAAACCAACTTTAACTAATAATATGTTAGAGTTTGTTTATAATAAGAATTGCAAAAATTACAGGATACGTGTGTTGCCAATTTGATTTGAAAATCCTTCATTTCCTTTAGGGAGGTCCGCTGTCTTGTACACTTATTGGCTCAATTTTTCGTCACAGCCATGAAAGAGTGGTAGCAGTAATGGCTGATTCCTCACAAACCTTCTTAGGATGTCTGGTATGTTTAGCAGCAGACTGCAGGCTGGTAGTAAATTTATGCTTCTGATATTAGTTTGTGTTAGAATAATTTTATTCACCTTTTCTCATCAATATAGGGCAATGATTCACAGCTTGAACTGTTCAAAATTTTAAATGACTAAGAAATCCAGAAACATCTACAAAAGAAATTAAAGAGGCAAAGGTTTGTTAAGAAATGTAAAATAATTTTTGTTTTAAAATAGATTTGTTTAAACAGCAAGATATAAATTTCTTTTTGTACTGTTTAGGAAAAAAGCAAGAAAAGAAAACATTGAAAAGGTATGTAAACTTAAGTTAACTCAAAGAACCTCATGCAGTTCTTGTCCAGGGGTTCATGCTGTGGCCTTGGTTGCTAGGCCAGGCAATTAAGCTACACAGTGTTACACTTTACCAAGAGGTATTAACGTGCAATGCCAAGTGTTAGGTAATCTGACATTCCCCTTGTAATGGAGTTACAGTTGATCCACAGAGAGTAACAATACTCCTTCTTAGACTTACGGCTTCATGCTACAGAACCCAGAGTTAAAAAACAACAATGCAAATGAGTCACTCAGCCTCTCCATCCAATGCAGTGCATTGAAACAGACTTTCAACCTTTAACCCTACAGTCAGTAATTTCAATTCAGGCTATGATACTTTTCCCAGTTTTTCTTGATATCAGTGTGACATATTAAGAATATTTCATTGGATGTCCTTACTCTCATTGAACAAGCCAATATATGTATATTTGTAATTCCTAATAGTTGTTCTGCTGATTAAATTGTATTTGAAGGAATTAGAATTAGATCTGGAAGTTACAAGAACAGTAGAAGATGAACTTCAAAGAATACATTCTCTTAAACTGCGTTCTAAGATCAAGTAAGGAAACCCAGAACTTACAGACATAATAAATCTGTTCTCAATTGTGTCTATTGTTTGACTATAAAAATAAAATTCATGCCCAGTTACTGGACTTGTATCTGACAACATTTGTACAATAGCATAGAACGCTTTTAACTGTCTTACTGATTGTATCATTGCAGATCCTTTGACTTGTACTATGATAAAACTGCTGAAGAATTAAAGGTATTTTCCCTGCCTTTTCGATTGTGTTGATCAAAAATCATATTTTAGAAGATTCATTTGCTGATATTTTTGTACTAGACTTCAGAAAATTAAACCTCTGGAGCAAGGCATGCGGTTTCTTTGTTTGGGCGATCAATTGTATTATAACTGTCTATTTTTGCCGAGGGCTACATGTAGGCAGGGGTTTGCTTTATTGATAACAGTATACGTGGGATTTTTCATGAAAACTGAGCATAATTAGAATGGTTTTTCTGCAATGAAATGTGGGCATATTTTATCAAATTAGATTCATATCTAGATTATTTTATAGATATCAAGCATTGATTGTCACTGACATAGTTCTGAAGTACATGTACATGTACATGTCGGTGGCATTTTGTTGGAGCAGGCAGCTGGTTTACACTTGTAACATGTACTAAAATTAATTGAAGTCTTTTCTAAGACTCATTAAACAATATTGGCCTAGGTGGCTGAGACCATTATCTTTGTTAGCAGCCAGCTACTTTTGACGATCTTGGAGATCTAGTAGAGGTTTTACCAGCACTATACATGTACATGTATTGCTCTATGTTGTCGTAATTTTTCCTGGCTGTGCAGGTTTTAAAAGGCATACTTGGATGATTACAAGTCCACTGTTCTGGCATTGCTGACCTTGATGGTTTTTTTCTTTCATTCTTTTTTTTTTTTTTTTTTCAGGTTCTTTTATTACTCCAAAACAATACTGTTCAGTTATACTCAGTTACTCTGAAACCAGTCGAATCATCTTGTGTGTCATCTGTAACACTACCTGGCCACAGATCTGATGTCAGGTTAGAATCATTTTTTTGCTACTGACTACTTTAAGTTTTAAAAAGCTACACCTCTTGATTGTTTTTACCGTTAGAGAGGAAAAAGAAAGGTTGATGGCTTATTTATGCACAGCAATATTTCATGATGAAATGGAATGACACAATCATGGACTTAACAAGCTGAAGTTGAGAAATTTGCTGATAACATTTTATAAACAAATTGTGTTTTTATTTACTGTATACCTTTTCTTTTAGAACTCTATGCTTTAACTCGGATGGCTCCTGCTTATTGTCAGGCTCGCAGGAGTCAATTAAAGTCTGGAACAGGTGCAGAATCCATTGCTTTAATATAATAATTACAGTTTAAATTTTTTAATAGTTTTGTAATGCTTTTGAGTGGTAGACCAGGGAATATCCCACAAGCCACTTGTATTTTCTCGGTAAACACACAAGCCTTTAGGCGAGTGTGAGTACCAAGAAAATACAAGTGACAAGTGGGATATTCCATGGTCTACCAAGAGAAAGCGCTGCATAACTATTTTATACCATGCCATAGAAAATACAGTGACCAACACAATCGTGACATATACACGTATGCGGCGCATGATGGGACGGTTGGATCTAAAACCATCAAATATACATCAGCTTTCCTGTATTCTGATTGGCTGTATTTTCAATGGCATGGTAGAAAAATTAATATTGTACTGTCCCAATGGCTTGCATGTTATAACAACCACAGTAAGTGTATATTATTTACCAGGAATTTGTGCTGTTTTGCGACAATGTGTACCTTACAGTGTATTTCTTACAAATTATTTTGCAATATTGTTGCTTTCATAATCCAGTGTAATAATTTGTCAGAAAAAAACTCTTTTCCAGATCATCACGCCAACCGATAAGAACAGTGACAACAGGCTATGCACTCAGTTCCATGTTTGTGCCAGGAGACAAGCATGTCATCATCGGAACCAAGGTAGAGCTTCATGTACAATGAGAAGGATCAAATGTTCATTATGTTACCAACATGGAACAACAGTATTCAAGGCCAGGACCTCTATGGAGAGAGTAGTGGCAAGCTAGGCTATTTGCAAAACCTACATGTACATGTAAAATGCTTGTTATGAGGGGTGCAACCTCTGTCAAAATTGGTTGTAATACTTGCATTTATTATGTCAAATCCCGTCACAGTTACCCACTTTCTGTCTTGGGCAGGGATAAAATGCATCTGCTTGGCAATACAGTGGAACCCTGTAGCTTAAGGCAAACCTGTTCACACAGCCACCCCATTACTATGGCCACTTTGTATTGGTCAGTCAATTTCTTATTAAAAAAAACCCTTCAATACGGCCAGATTTTTCTGGCCTGTTGGAGACCACATTAAATTTAATAGGGCTCCACTGCACTGAGGAGGGGTTGGGGGGAGGGTTGGGATAGGGATCCATATTATGGGTTATTGACCAAGTGTGAGGTCAAGATGGCTGGATATTGGCCAAGTTCTTTTTTTGCGTGTTTATGGACTGAGACGGAGTCGAGGTCCATNATCTTGACCGAACAAGCTTGGTCAATAAAGAATTTATTATATGGTTCTCGGGGAAATTTTTCTTGCGGGACACGGTGGGTAATCCCGAGCGGGCAAGTAGCCAATCACAGCGCAGGATTTGATTCATCTTGCCCGCTCACGGAGCTAGCCATATAATAAAGATCTCCTATGGAGTGCATTTCAAATCTTCTACAAAAGGCTGTTGGCTTTACTTAGTATACAGACATTTTTAGCATCATTTTTATAACATTTGTTATTGGCATATAGGTGTGGGTAATGTTGTATTCCTCTGCTGTTATGTTTTATGGCAGGCTGGCAAGCTAGAGATTTATGACATATCATCTGGTCAGTTATTGGAGGCAGTAGATGCTCATGAGGGTCCAGTGTGGTCTGTTTCCTTAGCCTCTGACAAAGTATGTACATTTGAGCGAGCTGTTAACTTCTAACAATGATTTCCTGGTACATGAATCCTACAGATATCGTATCATGTGTGCTAAAGGCATCCGCAGTAGGGTGTCAGTCAATACCTTCTATCAACACTTAATCGACATCTCGATTGACATTTGATCGACATTTTGATCGACATCTTGATCGACACTCAATCAACATCTTGATCAATACTCGGCAGACACTTGGTCAACACTTGATCAACACTCGATCAACAGTTTGTTGGTAGTTGGCTGAGTGACGACCAACTCACATCTAGCAATAGACAATTAGTCGTTTCTCAATCAACTGTCGGCTGAGATGTTGATCAAGTGTTGATCGAGTGTCGATTTCAGAGGTGTCGATCAAGTATCCTTTGAGTGCTGATTGAGGGTTGATAGAGGGTATCGATCAAGGTGTATTGATCTACACTTGACCACAGATGCCTCCTGAACACACAATCCCAGATGTCTACTCTTTGAAAAAAAAACGGAGAATGTGCATCTGTTCAGTAGACATAATGCCATTGAAAACAGGATATTCAAGCATTTGTGAAAGTGTATTGTGTGTTCCTTATCCTAACATCTCGCAATGTGTTCAATTGTGGGACTTGTATACTGAATGTTTTTCATTCCCTGTTATTGTTCTTTCTTTTAGCGTGGCTTTGTGTCTGGAAGTGGAGACTCTACTGTCAAGTTTTGGGAGTTTGAGCTGGTGTCAGATGCCCAGCACTCTCAAGTTAGGTTAGAAACTACTAACATACATTTTGATATGTGCAATTTGTTAACTAATTATTAATTACTGAATTATTATTAATTAATTCGTCACTTAAAAAATAAAATGGCAGATACATTTTAACCATTTAACCATGTGATTGTTTCAACAGTAAAAGACTGAGCATCATTCATGTGCAGACATTAAAACTGAAGGAGGAGGTTCTGTGTGTGAAGTACAGGTATGGTCTGAGGTTTTGTTTCTAAGCAACCTCATTTACAGCATCTGGTGTATTTGAAGCTTAGTTTAAGGGCTGAGATGTTGCAGTTGCCAGTGTTGACGTGGATACAATGGACACGATATCTGTTTTTAAAAATAGATATCTGTGTTGTTGGAAGAGAAAATTTATTAACCTTTTTACTCCCAGTGAATCAAATGTTTTATCTGTGAAAGAAAATATATAGTTTTCTAACCTGATGTTAACCTGTGAGTCTGTGGATCACAATTTACATACACGTAGTAGTGAAGGATTCAATCTGTCATTTCTGGAACTGAGGTTATGCTCTTGTTTCAGTGCTAATCAAAGACTGCTTGCTGTTAGTCTTCTTGATTGTACAGTCAAGATTTTCTTTGCGGACACACTGAAGGTTAGTCCAGCTTTTTAGGTAGAACAGTGAAAGCCTGTTAATATGGTCACCAAAAGGCCATGAAAATTTGTCCGTATTAACGGGGTAGGGTCAAACCTTATGACTGGTCTAAACTGGGTGACGTCTTAACAGATACATCACAGTTGCACTTCTAAACAACTGTTTTTTGATAAGCATTCAAAATGCACAAGTAATTTTGCAAAAAATGAAGCCGTATTAACGAGGTGACCGTAAGGCGAGGTTCCACTGAAATTGTTACTAGATCAATAGTCTTTTCCTTTTTTTAAACGGTAGAACTTTTTAATTGAAGACTGTCATATGAATAAATACTATGCAGTATAGCTCCAGTAGTCATAGTGCTCTGAATTTCAACTGCCTTGTATTTTGCCAAAGTATGGACCAAAAATTAAACCCAGTCTTTCTCTTTGTACTTTATAGTTTTTTCTGTCATTATATGGACACAAACTTCCTGTTATGACCCTGGACATCTCGTCAGTAAGTATGAGATACACTCCCAGATGGAACTAATCTAGCAAGCAAATTTTTTCGGGTCGTTTTTCCAGTAGTATTATGGCTACATTCGCATCTCTCATTATTTCATTTAATTGCTACTGTTGGACATCTATTACCATGGAATTCATATGCTTGAGCCGAGTATTACGTCCACTGAACATATAGAGCCGAACTCACACACGACCGCTCTCATGTGGCTTTGATAGCTCAGTTGGTAGAGCATTACACTGGTAACGCAAAGGTCGTGGGTTCGAATCCTGTTCAGAGCCTGAAATTTTTTCAGGTCATTTTTCCAGTAGTATTATGGCTGCATTCGCATCTTTCACTAACATGATTTATACTGCCTTGTTAACTTGATACAAATTATCAGTGTTTGACAACTTGGGGGAAGGTGGCTCTGCTTTTGTGCAATACTGACGTTAAGAGAAAATGGGAAAGAAGGATTAATTTAAATTGGAAATAAGAAAGGTTTGTTGATAGACTATCAACAAAACAAACAGTACAAAAGATAAGGGTTAGAGCGGCTTTTCTTCAAGTCTGAAATTACTCTCTTTTGAAGCTGTTACATGCTTTTTCCACTATATATGTATTCAAATTACACATCTTTAGCTTTCCGTGACCGTATGCAAAATAACATCAATAGCTGCTCCTCTCCAATAACGTTATGTGAAATAAAATAATGTTGTCGCTACATCTTGGCAGGATAGCAGTTTGATTATCACCGGATCAGCTGACAAGAACATTAAGATTTGGGGTTTGGATTATGGTGACTGTCACAAATCGATATTTGGACACGATGACAGGTGGGTAAAAAAACATCGTATAAGTGTGTGATAAATTAGGGGTAACTGGTGTATTGTGGACAGTAACTGTTTGTTTTGTGCAGATGGTTCGCACATACACTGAGGAAAGTTTTAAGGTTGATGACAGTGGCTTTCTGGGCAAAACAATGTTACTATAAACACGGAGGGAGATATTTTTAATAAGCATTAACAGACAGATTGGATGCTGGTGCTAGGGGCCTCGGTCGTGTAGGGACCTCCACAATATGGCCCGGCAACATGGCCTTGGGTGCCGTATTATCCCTATCAGCTTATCTCTGAAACATAGCCTTGCTTCCCCATCTGAGCACTTCTCTATGTCTATAATTCCTTTTACAAATTTTACAATACCTATTTTCGTCAAAGCCAGATCCTTTTTCACTTTCTTAATTTTACATTAGTTTTGTTAATTTAGACCGTTGGTGACTTTTGTTTCTCTGTATTTTCTTTCAGTATTATGGGTTTGCAGGTATGTAGCTTTTTGTGCCTTTTTGTTCTTAAACCATTACTGAAGCGGTGTTCAAAGAATCAAGAACCGCATGTGCAAGGTTTTATCAACTTTACGTTGGTTTGCCAAATTTCTTAGCCAATCGCAAAGCAGCCAACTGTATTTACTGAGTGACTTGCTTATTACTTATCACAGATCTTCGTTCTTTCTGCAGTTTGTACCAAAGACCCACTACTTTTTCTCAGTTAGTAAAGACAAGACTGTGAAATACTGGGACGCTGATAAGTTTGAGCACATAACGACACTTCAGGTAAAGTTTTGCCTCGTGGCCATTTTATGTTCCTCATGAGTTGTGTTTAAAGCAAGCAGAATATATATTTGCTCGCTTGGTGACATTTATTTTCAATTGATTTACCGGCCCAATTTAAGAAACTCATGAGTAAAACGTTTTAAAAGCACTCTTGTCTCTTGCTACTTTTTTTTTACAGGGTCATCATGCAGAGGTGTGGTGTCTCGCTATAAGTCCAGATGGAGATTATTTGGTTAGTTTCTGATAAACCAGCTCAGCAGGTCCATAATGGTTGTGTCTTGGACTTAAGAGCTGTGAGCAGTCTGGGCCTGTACACTGGCCAGAGTTACATGTAGTATTGTGCTCTGAGACAAGACATTTGACTCTCATAGTACCTGTCTTTCCATTCAGAAGGCAGGATTTCATTTGTAAACTTTGTGAGCCAGTGTGGCTGGCACAGAGGGGAGTGGCAAACTTCCTAATTACCTCATGCGTAGAAAAGTGAGCACTGTCTGGCTCCTCCGAACCTTATATGACCTACCAATTCCAGTAAATCATGCTGTAACATGATTATGAGGAGCTAAGATGCCGAACATAGATTCTTTTGAGGTCAGGTGGCAGCTCTCACAATGTCTGACATGGGTGGCTTGCTACCCTTTGAGAGGACAATAGAACAAACAACTGAAATAATGGCCCCAGCCGCAAAACAATAACAGCTCTTACACTAAGATGACAAATAGAATAACAAGCTTATGAGAGCTGCTACTAACAGTATTTTTGTTTTTCATCTTTGTTTTCCAGGTGACAGGTTCTCATGACAGATCTCTGCGGCTGTGGGAGAAAACTGATGAACCTTTGTTTGTGGAAGAAGAACGAGAGCAGGTTTGATTTAATATCGTGCTTGTGTTTTTTACGGGTTTTGTCATTCGAATGTAAAATAAACTGATTCTCTTTTTCTGCAGGAGAGAGAGAAGGAATTTGAAGAGAGTCTGGCACAGAACATAGAGCGAGTGGTAAGTCGTTTACAGTAGTAACACCTCTGAATGTCTTGTTAAAACTTTCATTTGTAGGAGTCTTAGCGTTCAAAATTTAAAAATGAAATTCTGGATTTCATTTTCTACAGCTGAAATGCAAAAGAGAGGACATGAAATTATTGCTTTACTGCTTTCGCCTGTTTATTTTTTGGGTTCCTTGAGGACTTTTTTACTCTTTGTTAGATCCCAGGAGAGGTGGATGGAGAAGCCGTTAAGGCCGGTAAAAAGACGATGGAAACCGTGAAGGCGGTAAGAGAAATTACTTTTTGAGAAATTCTATATTCGACATTGTATTTTCTCCTGTCAAAATCAAATTATGATTAAGACGTTCGATTTGTGAAGAAATCTAGAAACAAGGGAAATGAAAGGAATACAAGGTCTTGGGCGCGGAATAAAATGCAAACGGTTTTGTCGTAGGCTGAAAGAAGGGAGCAATTCGTCATCTTCAAAGGATACAATACAATACAATTATAGCAAAATATTTTGCTGCAAATTCTGTTCATCGTCCGCCTCCAATCAAAGCGGCTTCGTGCTCCTTCATTGAACATAGTAAGTAAACAAGGTTCACCGCCGCTAATATTATTAACATTTACTCAGTGTTTCTTATTGTTGTTGTAGGCTGAGAGATTGATGGAGGCTATTGAGCTTTACAAAGACGAAACAGCAAAGATGGAAGAACAAAGCAGTGCGCATGAGAAGGTATTGATGAGATTTCAGTTGAAGAAAATTTGCGGCACTCTTAGAATAAGAGAGAAGTACACATACAAGTTATACGATGCTTTCTAGAAGTCTCATATGTAAATTGACTTGTAGGGTATCTCATGGTGTGCTACGAGAAAGTGTTGAATAACTAATTATAGCATGTCATAGAAAATACAGTGACCAACACAATCAAAGCAGTGCACGATGGGAAGGTTGAGTGTAATTCCGTGGGATATTGAACGGCTTTCTGGTATTCTGATTGGCTGTACCTTGTAGTGTAATTCATAATGTAAGCTGTTCAGTAGCGTTTTTAAGGAAGTGGGGGAGGGGGTGAGATGGGCGACTCAAGCCGAATAGTTTTTTTTGTTGTGAAACAGACCGAGCGTTGTTGATAAACTTCAGAAGGGGTCCTTGTATCTATAAGATCTAAATTCAAATAGGGATGTTGGAATTTTTTTCCAGCACTTTGGTGCTTTCTTCATTAGTATTTACGCATTGGCTCAGACAGTGAGAGCCACTTACGGGCATAAATCACATTACAAGTTTTTACATGTAATTTCTTCAATATGATATCGAACCTTTACAATTCGTAGGTGCCTTCTCGCCATCCTATCCTGGTTGCATATGGGAATATAACGGTGAGAATTTTGCTACACGAGTTTTGTAACTTAGAGAGAACCTAACATAAGTATTTCTGTTTGCAACGCCAAACATTTTTGAAAATCGTATGAATATAATTTATTGTGCCTAGTTGGTGACCTTTAAGTATAATTTTGAACTGAATTTTGTAGGTATTCTGGTTGTTATACTCGAAGTTGCTCGAAAGGTCCTTTCGGCAAACTGAACAGGCCATACCCGTATTCTCGTTGGTGGACTGGAACTAGCTTGCATTGGAGGCTCATGCGGGGAATTTCATTTAAATGAGATTAATGTCATTTGCATTTGAAAAGACTTCCCGCATTAGCCTCGGTTGCAAGCTTGTTCCAGTCCAATACCGGGAATACGAATATGGTCTATTGCTGCGCCAGTATAGAAACAAAATAAATACAAAACAGTCAAAAATTATTTTGGTTGCAAGTCAGTGGAAAATGTCTCTATACACAGCATAAAGTGGAGGTATGGAGAGCACTACCAATCAAGATTGACGCAAGCTAGCCTTTGATAATTTTATTTTATTTTCAGCCTGCTCGTTACGTTCTTGAAGTTGTAAAGAAGATTCGTTCAAGGTATGTAAATGTGAGCTTTATTTGAGCCCCTTTGTGAAAGCAGACGCTCATTTTGAGTTCCTTATTGAATGCGAGTAGGCTCACGTTAAGCCTCGCGCGATGTGCTCTGCGAAAAGGAAGTTTGACCAACAAGACAGGAATTCTATGTTGATGATGTCAAGCTAGCGTGGTCCGCGTATAGTTCTGACTGGTTAAGGCTAATATTTATAAGGTAGGATAGTGGATAGTGGTACCTCGTCACTTTCTAATTTACCAATTTCCCGCCTGTTTTCTCTCAAAGAAAGTCTTAATTCTTATTAAGATGTCAGTGCTTGTTGAACCTGAGTTTATCTTTTTGGCGGATTTTACAAGGACGCTGTTTAAAGGGATTCTTATCGCTTCATTTTCAGTTTGTGTTTGCTTGCTGTTGTTTTTCAGTGAATTGGAAGAGTCACTGATAGTTCTGCCATTCAGTGTTGCAACGGAGATGTTGACACTACTTAATCACTGGCTTCAGGTAAACGAACTTTAAGTACCTCCATAGCTTTGTGGAAGAGCATTTGCACGGTCCTAAGGGTCTGGGTTCGACTCGACAGAAAAGGACTGGAGTATAGTACCTGATGTTTCTTTAATGTTTGGTTCCCATCTTCTAGTGTCTTTTAGTTTTGAACTATAACTCCTATTTTTTTGGTTGGTCTCTTCAATCTAGCACGGCTGGGAGGTCGAATTGTCCTGCAGATGCCTCTCTTTCCTTCTGAGGTAAGTTGTCTTGTGTTTGTATTCTGTGAATCACTGGTGATGCGCTGAGCAAACTAGAAACATGTGCTTGCGTTGTAAAAACAGCTCGTTTTATGATCACCGTTTTACAACTTTAGAGCTAGCGCTGTCGAGCTATTTTCTTAACTAGGATCAGTAAGACTGTCAGTGCGACTTTGTGATACGGTTTTATCTTTTTGTTAGGATTCACCACAATCAGATCGTCTCAAACCATGTTCTTGTGCCAGTGATCGACTCACTCCGACAGCACGCTAAATCTCGTGTTCACAGTCTGCGGGTGAGTACATACA